CAATTTTTATGACATTTTGAATGCTTTTAACTTCTCTCCCCACTATTTAGAGATTGAATAGATATTTGTTTCTACTTTTAGTTTTCATGGTTCTCTTTGTTGACACTGACACTCTCATTGATCTGGAATTTATTTTAACATTTAGATGAGTAATAATCTAAATTGATTTTTTTTCTAAATAGGTAACTTACCTTCTGCAGCATTAATAGTCTTGCATAATCCATTTATTCTTAATGGATTTGAAATGACTCTTTTAAAAAATAAATATTAACTACTTATATATTATAGGGTGTATCTAGTTTCCCTGTTATTTATTTTAAACATTCTTGAGCCAGTTCAACACAGATTTAATTATCAGAGCTTTCCAGTATCTTTACATATCCAATAGGCATATTCGCCAACCATACACCCAAATGCCCTGCCTTATTATCCTCCCTGCAAAAAATTCTGAGTTATTTTTAATGGTTTAGTTCACCATCATTAAGCCAAATTCATGTAAAAATAGAATCTTTTCAACATATTCACAGTTCTTACTGTGCACATCAAATGTTTTGTTACATTTTGATACCATGGTACCCTCTGGACATTGGCACTTAAATATTGTGGTACGTTTCCCCTAAAAAGAATTCCATGACCAAGAACATTTGGGAAAGAGTGACTACTTTACCCTCCTCTTGGAGATTCACAACAAAATGAGCATATAAAAGAGAGAGAGAAAGAAATTGCTCGGTAAAGAAACCTATGTTTAACCTAGTGTTTTCCAAATATTCAGTCTATTTTATATTTTGCTTCACAATTACTAGCAAATTATCAAAATGGCTTCTCTGTTCTATATGTTCTAAGAACAGTATTTCCTTTTGGCTACTCCCAGTCCTTGTTTTTAATCCGTTTTGCCTGAAATGCTGACCAGTTCCCTAGATGAGGAGCATGTTTCTACGTAGGAGTGCCTCTAGCTGGCAGAAGACAGAAAGGGATAGGGATGGCAGAGGTGCTGAATGTGCATTATGTCAGACCCATCAAAGAGGTTTGCACTCTTTCATGCTGTGGGAGCTCATGGGAATGACTTCAGTCAAGGAACAGAGGAGTTGGACCACGTTGCCTAAGTCTTCTGAAGAGAGGCAGAGTCTCCAGCGAGCCTGCAGCCCAGCTGAAAGTGGGTCACTTCACCACTGAGGAATGGCACTGGGTGGCACTTCAGAGACACTGCGGTGAGGGAACAGGCCCTTATTCATCATGGGGGAGATAGTGTTTTTCCTCCCCTGCGATAGATTCACTCTGGCCCAGCAGCCTCTATGGTTAGGCGTGACTTCCTGAGGGATTTTCCCTGGATTCACAGAAGGTTCCCTGAGTACCAGGGAAAGCCTGACTCACCCACAGGCCTTCCAGGGTGGGGCTGGCATGACTTGGATGCAACTTCGACTTGGCTGAACTCCCACGATGGTAATTCTCAGCCTAAAATCAGCTGCCCCAAGGAGAAATGGAAGAACGGGGTGAAGAAGAGGCCCCACGGAGGTGCTGACAGGGGCAATAAAATCTCCTCTCACAGGCTTCTCACTGGTGCCCTAGGGTGGCATGTGAGGGAGCGTGGAAAATATTTTTTTTCTCTCCAACTTCCTTTTTCCCTACAGCAGCTTCTCCAGCAAGTTCATGTCCCTGCATGGTACTAGCTGCTACCTATCCTAATAACGGCTCCCCACCATGCTTTGGATAATTGGATCCAAGCCTGGATCCTAATTTTGCATCTTAATCCTTAGCTCCGGTACAAAAAGGCTAAAGCTTCCTTTCAGTATCCTGTCTTGTATTCTCTATCACTGTCGTTACAAGAGCAATCTTGGTCTATTTACTGCCACCCCTGGAAGAGGCCCTTGAATTCTCACATGCTGTCACTCAGGTGCCAACACAAGCCCATATCTGATTTCTGTAAACAAGCAGGGTGATGGAGCTGCCTGGTCGCTAAGTCCCTCCAAGGAAGTCAAGGGTTTGTTTGCTGTTACTGAAAGCCCCCAGTAGCCAGACACCAGATAAAGAGACTATATCAGCTTGGCTGTGGAAGAAATGTGGTAAGTCACAGAAGGAAGGAAAGGAGACGCATGGAAGGCAATTTACCAAGGTGTCTGAATCCCAGTTCTGACTCTTACTAGTTGAATGACTTCCAGCAATCTACTTTACCTTGTCTTTAGTTTCCTATGAAACAGGGATGGCAATAGTGTTAGCTTCACAAGAACGTCAAGATGATTCAATGAGATAGTGTGTATATAGATAGAAAATACATCTGACATAGACTTATGCCCAGGAAAAGTTAAGAATTATGGTGACAGCAATGGCCTTTGAGGGGTCGCTAAAACCTGGGAAGTTCAGTGCCCTGAGTAACTTTCTGGGAAAAAGGGTCTATAACTTTCATTATGAGTTCTTCAAATTATTAAAAGCTCCTGAAATCACAGAAAGCAATGTGAAAACATTGAGTATCGCTGAAATAAAGACAGCTGTTCCAAACAAACTGGTCTTTCCAAAGTCACAAAGACAACAATTACCAAATTGTTATCCTTGACTAAAATGTACTCCATTGCTTTCCCTCACTTAATTAAATATCCTCTTTCCTCCAAAACTCAGGTCAGCTAACCCCTTGCTGAATACCTGACTGCACCACTCAGCTGATACTTGCATAGCTCCCTCTGTACACATTGGTCCTATTTCTCCAACTTCATCCCAGCTGCTGGAAAGCAAGGCTCCAATATTATATCTTCCTTCAATGCCCAGGACAATCCTTTGCAATGTTTACTAATAGCAACTGTGTATCACTGATAATGATATTTGTCAAGGTGTATTTCTACATAGAGTATAATGAACTTCTTCTAGGTAAATTCATATAATGGACTATCCCCTCTCTACAGCACAGCATCCAACATATAAGTGCTTCATGAGAGAGAGTTGAACAAATAGTTTAAAAATTGGGTGGCTACGAGAAAGTTATACACCAATAAATGGATAAATTAGGCAGGTAAGATCAAGAGGAAGTATTTTTTTTTAAAGATCACATATGGAGGATGTAACCAACCCTCTCAGCATTTATTTCACATTTTTCAAACATTTATAACTTGTGTACCAAAAATTCACTGGAACAATGTATTTTCATCAGGAGACCAAAGTTTAAGTCTAAAGGATCAGCCACCCTTCCATTCTGCCTGAGGACAAAGTCCAAACCATAGTTCCATTAGTTTTCCTCTTATGGTCTTAACATGAAGTGTATCACCCATCCCTGAATTGTACATGTATAGAAGTTTCCCAGGACCACCTAGGATAAACTAAATAGAAAAGGGAAGATTCTTAAAATCAAAAGGAAAACAGCCAACATGGCAAGTAAATTATCTTCTGTGGTGATAGGGTTGGGAGAGAAAGGGGAGATGTTTGTGCAAAGCAACCACAAAGTGCCGTCGGAGCTATTGACGGATAAGCTGTTTCTGAAACCTCTGCTTTTTAAAGAAACCATATCAGCAGCACCAAACAACTCATTTGCGGCAGATTTGTCTTCGAACAGTTTTTTTGCAAAATGCTGATAAGCACAACTTAACTTGAGAGAGTAACTGTGTACATTATTCATTTAAGCAAAGCAAATGAGAAACCATAGCACATATACAACTATGGAAACAGGACAAATATGCTCATGAGAAGGCAAACAAAGATGCTGGCTGGCTGGTTGCAGGGGACAAAATTCTAGGCAGGGCACAAAATTAAAGAAAACATGGCCGCTGTGAGTGGAGGTGAATCTCTCCTAGAAATCCAGACTGTTGCTACTTTTCTGCAACAAAGGAGCATTTCTGCTTAAATTTCCTAAGAAATTCTAACCTGCAATTTTACAGAGCACTGATTTATTAGCTTCCTTTCTGGCCAGTGTATTTTTATGATGACTGAAAATAGAACTGGAAAAATAAGTTAACTGATGCGGATCATACTGTATCTTTAATAAAGCAAACAGTGATGCCAGATTCTGAATACACAGTTAAGTATAGAAGCATCAAGACTTGGAAGGAATAAGGAACACGGAACCCCAAATCACCATTTGTACAATAATATCAGGGAACCCTGCACAGCTGTATTTCTCAAATTATGTTGCACAGAATATTAGTTCCGTTGATGTTAGCAGGTGTTATGTCAAATGAATGTTCTATAGTCAAATCTCTCACTCCCTTGCTAATAAAGAAGGTCATATATACAGACACATAAGAAACAAGCTCAAAGCAGTAACTTTTTTTAAGTAGACTTTATTTTTAATTGAAGTATAGTTGATATACAATATTGTGTTAGTTTCAGGTGTACAGCATAATGATCCAGTATTTTTGCAGATTATACTCCGTTACAGGTTATTACAAGATAATGAGCATAATTCCCTATGCTATCCAATCTATCCTTGTTGCTTATCTATTTTATACATAGTAGTTTGTATCCCTTAATCACATACCCTTAATTTGTCTCTTCCCCCTTTCCTCTCTGTTTTGGTAACCACAAATTTGTTTTCTGTATCTGTGAGTCTGTTTCTGTTTTGCATATATATTCATTTGTATTATTTTTTATATTCCACATATAAGTGATATCATACAGTGTTTGTCTGTCTTCGTCTGACTTATTTCACTAAGCATAATATTCTCTAGCTCCATCCACATTGGTGTAAAGGCAGTATTTCATTCTTTTTTATGGCTGAGTAATATTCCATTCTATATATACACCACATCTTAATAATCCAATCGTCTGCTGGTGGGCACTTCTGTTGTTTTCATATCTTGGCTATTATAAATAGTGCTGCTATAAACACTGGGTTGCATGTATATTTTTGAGTTAGTGTTTTCATTTTTTCTGGATAAATACCCAGGAATGGAATTGCTGGATCACACGGTAGTTCTATTTTGAGTTTTGTAAGGAAACTCCATACTGTTTTCCACAGTGGCTGCACCAGTTTACATTCTTGGCAACAGTGTATGAGGGTTCCCTTTTCTCCACATCTTCTCCAGCATTTGTTATTTGTAAACTTTTTGATATGGCCATTCTGATCAGTGTAAGGTGATACCTCATTGTGGTTTTGATTTTCAAAGCAGGACTTTTTAATAACATGTTTTAATAAATTTTCCAGGTTACATCCTAAGATTAGTCATAGCAGGTCTATGACCTACTTCTGCTTCTATTCTCAAAGTGTGGTCAAGAACACTTGTTCTACAGAAATTACATAAATAATGTACTTGGTAAAACAATTGAGAGAATTTCTATAATATATCCTTATTTTTAAGAATCACAACATACATTAGTTCATTTAAAGCTCTAAAAAGTCCTATAGCAACAAAATCCTATTGAATCCAGCATTGCCAACATTTATCTCATCATGAAACTCTCTTCTTTTCTTAATATGTAATAGTTATTAATAACTTCTATAACAGACTCACTTTGGAATATCCTAGCATAGAAAAATATTTAATGACATAAATTAAAAAGTACAAACAAAAGTCAAAAAACCAAAACAAAATCACAAAACAATGTACACACCATGATCCTATTTTTGTAAGATAATTACATATTTGTTTTTTCCATTTTTCTAGAACACATATTTTTGTTAGAAAAAGTATATTATCAATAACATTTTTAAACACTTAATATTGTTTTATTTGGCATGGGAGAAAGTTATCTAGAGTATGGACCCATTTTCTAAAGTTTCCAAGCATTCCACTCACTTTTAGGGCTATAACAGGAGCCAAACACCTTCAGTGAGTGACGGGCCCGTCTTGCTATGCTGGGTGTTGAATGCTGAATATTGAATGTCATGGGAAGTGCCCCAGGCTCCTATTTCTACTCCTAATTGGTGCACCTGAAAAATATCCATTGAACTGAGCTTTGAATGGCCTGAATAATTAGTATCGTATATAACAAGGCCAAATGTAAAGATGAAGTATTCCCATACTTTTCACCCCAAACATCAACTTTAGGCACCTGACAAAATACTATTCAATTTTACCTAAATGTCACTTTCCTCCTTGAGTGAACATAAGTCCTGGGTTTCTCCCTCTCTTTGGTAGGTGGGCCAAGGATTGTGGAACAAGAAGCACTCTCACCCCAGGGAGGACCAGATGGAAGATGAGAGGTAGAAAAGCTGCATGACCCTCCACTCCCCACAAAAGAAACCAGAAACTGTGGAAAGTTTGCTATAGCAGAGAAGTGTACTACACAGGAAATGTACCATATGGAAACTCTGGTATAGCAGAGAAAGAGCTGTAGGGATTAATGAAGACGGCAGGGGATATAGCTTCCACCTTGAAGGAGCTGATAATCAAATGCTTAGAGCGGGAGGAATGTAAGTAACAGGATGCATACATTTGGGGGCTCTATTGGGATGCAGCTCTAAGTTCTGAGCAGTTAGGGAAGTGGGAAGGATCAGAGAGATGGAGAATAATGTAACACAAAGGAGAGTGACCTGAAAAGACAGGGTAAACAGATTAAACAAAAAGTGTGTGTGCGCATGCCTGTGTGAAGCACTCCTGAGGCTCGCTGCTAGAGGTGTAGGACCAGGTCCGCACCCTCAGGAAGCAGGATTTCTGGTTGGCTAGATGGCATACCTAGAGAAACATTCAAAATAAACAAATAAATAAATAAATAGAAACAGTATGTAATTCGGTTCTAAATGAGGGGATAGAGCCTGGCACAGAGCCTGGAAAATAGGTACTTACCATATGTTTATTGGATTTAATTAGATCCAGAAGCTGTCAGAGGGCTAGACAGGAGATCTCTGCAGAGTTATACAGGAAATGAGGAATTCCTGTATAAACAGAAACAATGGCATAGGTGGTGAAATGAGCCTTTGGAACAAGATGAGGAGAAGGCAATTAGAAAAGCTTTTATTTATAAAAATCCACAGATTAAATTTGATCAGAAAGGGACAATAGAACCACTTTTATGCTCTAAGAAGGTAAGTGACAATCAAAATAAGTCCTGAGGACCACAGTTGCTGGTGAGAATAATTGACGAGCGATGAGCCTTGAATGAGGCAGACCAACGACAAGCCTATTTCTAATATCACTTTGGATCGACTGTTAGGAATTGATGGTAGACTCAGTGTGATGGATGGGAAAAAAGAGCATATTTGGGGCTCAGCAAACACAGTTCATTTATTCTCAAAATCTGGTTGGGCATTCAACAGCAGGTAGAAATATACGTTTTTTTATAATAAAAAGTTTCAATAATAAACACTTTATTATAATTTTTATAATAAAAAGGCATGTAAAATGTTTCATCATTTGCTACACTTTGAACTATTAATTCTAGTACAATAAAAATACGTATGTGCAAGCACATGTGTACTTGACACTGTGAGAATCCTGACTGATATATAGAATCCAGGAAAACCAACAAGTATCAGTATAGGCTTGAAGAGCAAAGTCTGAACAGGCAGAAAGATACCCATTGCACAGGCATCATCTTTTTTTTTCAAGGATAGTTGATTTACAATGTTGTGTTAATTTCTGCCATACAGCAAAGTGATCAAGTTATACATATATACACATACTTTTTCATATTCATTTCCATTATGGTTTATCACAGAATATTAACTATAGTTCCCTGCACCGTACAGTAGGACTTTGTTGTTTTGGCATCATCTTAACAGGGAGAAGTACCAGGAGGACATGGCTGAAACTTTTGTTCTCGGTAAATTTTCTAAGTGATCTGCGTCCACGTGGGAGGTGAGCCTTCACAAAACGAATTCTTGTTTTCTGGTGCTTACAAAGCAGACTGCCACGGAGCCTGACGCAGGACAGCTCTAGTCGTATGGCCAGGTCTTGTATGCGTTAGCCTATTGCTCAAATATGAATGTCCTATTCAGCTTTCTTGCCTGTCCATTGCAAAGGCCATGTGGCACGCACATCAGAGGTGAGAGGACGAGATTGTTGCCTATTATGGCAACAATCCTCCCTTTACCACAAGCAGAGCCACAAATATTTCCAAACCACAAAACAAAACTCGCCTATATAAGCTATAAATACTTCAGTTGTGTGCATTTGTACAATGTTAGGCATAGCTGGGTATGTTTGTTCTTTCATACATCTGTCCTCCCTTGTTTGGGGAAGTAGACCTTGAAGAGTATGACCCTATCCATCTCGGTTAGTGTCAGCTCAATGTCAAAAGTATATGGTCATGGTTTTTTGCTGTAGATTATTGTTTAGAGTGAAGCTCTGAAGTGCATTCTGAACCAGGCTTTGTGTGAGTTATCAACTAATCATCTATTGCTAAAATCTCAAAGAAAAATGTGCAAGTTGGAGGAGCGGAAGAAGGCAAAAATTGCTTCTGTTTTATATTTGTTAATTAGACTAAGAATCTCCTCATCTTCTCTTTCAACCTAGAAATTTTAAAAAAGAAGAAGAATATAGGACCTTCTACTTCCAGGATGATTTCCACACATTAAGTTTCACCACTCATTTAATTTCATAAAGGCATTTTTATTCCTGAAATATTTACTCCAGATAAGAAAATCTCTCATCACAACTGTGTGAAATTGCACCCAAAGAACACATTTTGGCAGTGTCTCTTGACCAAAGATTGGGACTCAGTATCAGGACTTGTTTTTCTCCCCAAGACAGATACCACCAATGTTAGACTGCATTCGCAATGGAAATCATCGCTTGGGCACTGAATCCAGCCACAGAGGATTTGGCAAAAAGGCTGTAACCTCTTCTCTCTCCTCACCAGTGACAATCCCACCACAGTTTTCCATCTGTTGGTGACCTCCATCCTGGATTACCTCAATGCTCTTTGCTCAGGGCTATGGTTAAAGACCTCCCAGAAGCTCCAGCTGCTGGTACAGAATGCATCAGTTGTCTAGCTGCTAACGGTCATAGGCTGACGTGACTGGAGTGTCTCTGAATCCCCAGGGCCCACCTGGCTCAGGCTGGTGGTCCCAAGCCCTTTCATCAGCTGAGTTACTGAGTTTTTCAAGAAGTATATCAGGCTCGTTGATATTTTGCAATTTCTGAATCTCCATGGAAGTTCACCGCTTCTTGGCAAGGAGATGGATTGAATAGAAGTAAGAGGTAGAAAACACTCTTGAGAATGGATAGATGTTAAAGGAAGTGTTGGTGAGTTCCCTCAGCTATGCACAATGAACTAGGCAAGTAGTTGGCAGTAAAGAAAGTATGATTCTCTCTGAAAGGATGTCGTGGAATGCATATGCGTACCAGCTGGAGGCTACAGATTCTATAGCAAGATGGCCTTCCTATCCAGGTCCTATATCATCACAACAACTAATTAAGATTTTGAAGAAAATGAGTATGAAATAGCAATTTTCACTAGAGAATACATACAACTTGATTCTGCTTCCTCTGGTCTTCAATGAAATCCAAGATTATCAGCTAGCATCCCAGGTCTGTTGACTATGGAGATACGATTTTACAAAAAAAAAAAAAAAAAAAGCAAGGCAAAATGTCATTGTCCTTAAAATGCTTCACTCCCAAAAGGTTGCTTTTATAAAACACTTGCTTTGAAATCAGAAACAGAAATCAGTGCACCGATTACATGAAATTCTTTGATGTACTCAGTGGTTATCTAGGTTCTACTATTTTTGGTTTTGAACTAGTCAAAGTTTATTTAAAGCTGGGCATTAGAAGACAATTTTAAAACATTGAGGATAACTAAAATAACACTGTGCATACACTATATGAAGGTTTACTAAAATAGTTGTCAGGCATGCGTCATCGAGATAATTTCTGTTCCACTCAGACAAATCAGTTATGATTGCTGACGGCAAAACTTGAGTTGGGCTCTAGGAAGACAATCCTTATGCAAATGGCACATTCAGCCTCTAGCACTGTGACAAAAGATTCTAATGAGTAGGCAGAATGACCTACCCAGGTATTAGGGTGAAATCATCCACTAACCAAAGAGAAAGATGTTCATAATCAAGCATGTCAAGTTAATGAACCCTCATAAGGTGAGAGTTAAATGAATTAGCTAGATTCATATAACAAATTCCCAGGATGTTGTTTTGTGCTAGTAAGTGTATTACGGTAACTCTGTAGAAATGGTTACTGTCTGTATTTCAGACATTCCCAGGAGTACTAGCAAAGAGGAGCTTAGGACAAATTGGCGTATTCAATGAAGAGAATTATATGAGGAAATGCATGTTAAATTATACTGACACTGATACTACACATGTGTTACAGGGATACTGCTCATATGCTTCTCCCTAGAAAGACCAGGGGCAATCCTGATTCCCCATGAAGCCCCCGTCACAACATCACTTACGTTCATTCTGGTCTCCGCAATGGCTCAGCCAGTTACCAGCTACAAGGCCATGTGTCTGCCCACACATTTGCTACAAGTGTAATGATCCTTCCAATGGCTTCACCATTTAAGGCCTCTGTCCCATGGGCAGATGTCCGTTGCCTGACATTACATCAGGGTCAACTTCCCTTCATGTTCCCTTCTTGAATTGAAAGACCCTTTGGGGAATTCCCCAGTGGTCCAGTGGTTAAGATACCTCCCTGCCACTGCAGGGGGCACGGGTTCTATCCTTGTTTGGGGAAACTCAGATCCCACATGGTGTATAGCCAAAAAATAAAATAAAATAAAGACCTTTTGGACTAAGTGCCATAAGAACATTCCTTTGGTTCTTCTTGTCCCTAAGGGTCACCATCCTTCAGAGTCAAGGACCTTGTTCCTAACATTCCTGGTTGCCTGAGATTTTTTTTTAAACACTTTTTAAAAAAGAAATAGAGTTAGTTATTTATTTATTTAGTTAGTTAGTTTTGGCTGCGTTGGCTCTTCGTTGCTGCACGCGGGGCTTTCTCTAGTTGGGGTGAGCGGGTGCTATTCTTTGTTGTAGTGCGCGGGCTTCTCATTATGGTGGCTTCTCTTTGTTGCTGAGCATGGGGTCTAGGCGCGCAGGCTCAGTAGTTGTGGTTTACGGGCTCTAGAGCACAGGCTCAGTAGTTGTGGCGCACAGGCTTAGTTGCTCCGTGGCACGTGGGGTCTTCCCGGACCAGGGCTCAAACCCGTGTCCCCTGCACTGGCAGGCAGATTCTTAACCACTGCGCCACCAGGGAAGCCCTGCCTGAGATTTTAAAAGCCTGTTCAGCGACTAGCGGCAGTCTGTATAGAATGTTTGCCAGTCTGCAGCAAAAATTAGGAGGGAAACAAAGGGCAAGGGAGTGATTTTTATTTTTTCCTAAATTTAAATGCATACTCTGTAAAAGCTATCAATAGCTTAACTTTAGGTACTTCCTGCCTTTCTACGTTTTGGTGTTCTTTCTTCTGAAAAATGATGGGCATCAGTTGATTGCAAGTTTTCCTTAATGGCCGGGCTTTGCTAAATATAAAGATGAAATTCACGTTATTCCCTCTCTTCCTTCCTTCCTTCCTCCCTGTCTCCTCTCCTCCTCCTCCTTTCTTTGTCTCTCACATTCGTTTGGTCATTTTTTTTTTTTATTATTTCGCTGTTTTGTGAAATTCAAAGCTGTGGAAAATATGGCGTCTTGGACTCACTGGTCACCAGGCTGTATTGATGGAGTGTCAATGTCCACCTTGTACTGATCATACAGTTCCATTCAAACCTCTTCAAAGTGTACTGAAATCTACCTCCACACATTGTGGAGGAGAAGCTCTGTATTTTCCATGGAGGGACTCTGGTAAGAGTATCTGGAAAGAAGGAGAGAGAGACAGAGACAGAGAGAGAGAAGGGAGGGAGGGAGGGAGGAAGGAAAGAAGGAGAAAGGAAAGGAAGAAAGGAAAAGGACAAAAAGAGAAAAGAAAAGAGATTCTGTTATGCAGTCTCTCGTGTTTTCTGTTCAAATGTCCCCTCAATCAGGCTCAGCTTTTTTGCTGTTTGAAGTTGACTAGAGACTCATTATCTCTTCCATAAGGTATACGTTTGGGCTAAATACGCACCACTGGAATAAATTCAGTGGATCCAGAGAGGCTGTGGGTCACTTTCACTCCAGCCAACTCCAGAGTGACTAGATCACTGCTGTGACAGCTCCTTGTTGACAGAATAAATCAGAATGTGGAAGCTTGTGAGGATACGTAAAGACCTGGAGCTGTCCCGGGGACAGCCTGCTCTCCCCAAAGATGCTAAAGTGGTAGATGAATAAGAAGGAAAGCAGGGCTTCCCTGGTGGTGCAGTGGTTCAGAGTTCGCCTCCTGATGCAGGGGACGCAGGTTCGTGCCCCGGTCCAGGAAGATCCCACATGCCGCGAAGCGGCTGGGCCCGTGAGCCATGGCCGCTGGGCCTGCGCGTCTGGAGCCTGTGCTCCGCAACGGGAGAGGCCACATCAGTGAGAGGCCCACGTACAGCAAAAAAAAAAAAAAAAGAAGGAAAGAGCCCAAGTTCTCATCCCAGACCTGCACCATCTGGCTGTGTGATCTTGAGGGTGTCAGTTTGTAAATTCTCATTTTCTTTACTTTTAACAACTGAAGGTTGCAGCCTACCCAGTAAAAATGCCAGAATATGGTGAACCAGGTCTGTTTGTGTCGCCTCTCAGGGCCGCTGAGGACAGGCATGCCCCTCAGTGAGATTGTGCTCAGTCCCCCTCAGACAGAGCTCCAAGGGTGAAGTACAGCAAAAGACACTATTATTAATTTCTAAACACTAGGGGCCAGCAACCAATATTACAATTATTCATTCAAATTTCAGCTACAGACTAGAAAGAGATATCCTTTGTTTCTATAACAATACTTACTTCAAGGCACCTGACACATTTCTATTTCTATTGATATCAGAAACAAGGTAAGGATGGCAATTCTGCCACCATTGTTAAGGATTACTTGGAAGTTTTAGCCCGTAGATTCAGATGTTAAGCATAAACAAGACAATTCACTCCTTAAAGGGGAGGCACAAACTATCTTAATTTCTCATATGATTGTCTGTCTTTAAAAAGCCAATGTAAGTAACTGGCAAGCAATTAAAAGTAATAAAAGCATTAGAGCAAAGGAGAGTGAACAGTGAAAAAAATACAAAGTCAATGATTTTAAAAATTATTAAATTGCTGAAGGGATTATTTAGAGAATTAGCAGCATGGGAGTGGAAGTAGGCATTGGTGGCTGGTGATTGTTAGTTAGAGAGGCAGACAGGGACTCCCCCCATCCCCTTCGCCCGCCCCAGTGAAGAAGGTAAAGGAGTAAAGATAAAGACTGGGGGCAGTGGGGAAGCTGGGGTGGGGTTGAGGTAGGTGTCTAGTTAAAGTAGAAATTGAGGGAGAATGCAAAGGAGGAACCAAACTGGTTTTTCAGAATCTTCAAATCTAGGCAGAGAAATTTAGACCTGGTTCAGAAAGAAAATAGTCTGCAAGAACTAATAGAGGAAAAACAATGCTGGTGCAACAGGTGATTAGAAGTCCATTGCTCCCCTCCTGTTTCCTCAAGTTTCTGTTACTTTATGGTGAAGATTAGAAACTTCTCACAAATATCCTTAAGCTGTGTTTTCTGGTTAAGATTACTTTCTTCCATAAGCATTCGTTGGCAATCTACCCGGCCCTGGGCATGCGGCAGTCAACAAGATAAATTCCCCGTCATATGAAAACGGAAAGGGTACCATGTCTCTAGATAATGTTGTGAAGATAGAAATTCTTCTAAAATAAAAGTTTTGATCTGATACATTCCTAATCTGAATGGGGAACATCTTTCATGGGATAAAAATCAACAGAAGAAATTAAGAAGGTGTGGACAGATTCAAAAACATGAAATTTTAACATATCAGTTTGTCAAAGCTTCTAAATTAAACAGAGAAAACAGGAGAAAACCTAAGAAAATAGATTTGCTTAATCTAAGCAAATATCAACCTAAAAGCTGGTACTAATAATTAAGCAAATGGAGAGCAAACAGAAATAATGTTTGCAACAAACATGTATGTTCTGATTATGACGCAGACACTGACTTGATAAACCCAAAAGATGTGATCTGACACTACTATGGTCTGAATGTTTGTATCGCCCCAAAATTCGTATGTTGATATCCTAACCCCCCAAAAATGATGCTCTAAGGAGGTGGGGCCTTGGGCAGGTGCTTAGGTCATGAGGGTAGAGCCCTCAGGAATGGGACTGGTTCCCTTATAAAAGAGGCCCCAGGGAGATCCCCAGCCCATTCCACCATGTGAGGACCCAGCGAGAGGGCCTCGCCTGTGAACCAGGAAGAGGGTACTCGCTAGAGAGCACGACCATGCTAGTGCCTTGATCTTGAACTACCCAGTCTCTAGAACTGTGAGAAATAAATTTCTGTTGCTTACAAGCTACCTTGTCTGTGATATTTTGTTATTGCAGCCTGAATAGACTAAGACAGACACACAACCATATTTGCACACTCAGAGAAACACTGTATTTTTATCATGCTTAAATTCAAAAAAAAAGATTTTACTGAAAATAACTGAATGTAATAACATTAAAACGTCTATATTTTAAAGATGAGATGTGGCTAGTAAAGATTTAAAAAGCAGTTCAATTCAATTTGAAACCATTCTGTCCCACCCACCCCTGTTTGGTACAACTTTCAATTCCTTTGTTGATCTTATTTGAAAGTGCTACTTTGTGTCACCCTATTCTCCTAATTTTGAGTT